ATCATAAGAAGTGCAAAATCCCCACAACAGCATATCTTTGATAGATTTATATCAAGTGCAAGATGAACAAATAAAACTAACCATAAAATAAACATTTCAATAAAGAAAATACATTGTTGAAATATGTCCATGTCAAATACCATTCAACAAAAGAGGGCATAGGCAAGCTGGAAAATACATAAGGCAAAGGTGATGAGGCTTACCTATTGACAGTAAAGAAACAGTTCAAAAATGTCAAATAAAGGTCGGACGTGAACCGGAATGGGTTTCACTCGGCAGAAAATGGCGTTGAACAGAGACCTCGGACCACGACCTTCAACGACCTCGAAGCTCGCCAGAAATTGACGAACCTCGGATGGACCCCGACTCTCAGCGATAACTGAAACGACTGACTGTTGTCATCGGATTTTCTCACTCTGTTTCTGTCTGTTCACCCTTGTATTAGGTTAGTTCTTTTCCTTATGTCTTTCTCTATTTCCTCTATGGCTGAGTGTGTATGTGTGTGTGTGTTTGAAAGAAATGATGGTGATCGCCGGTGACGTCGTGCGTCTGGTTTCCGAGGAATAGCAGCTGGTTTGAGTTGTTTGGTCGCTGTATTTGTTTGGGAATTAGAAGGATGTCTCAAGTTGCGAAAATGGGGAAGAAGCAGAGCAAAACCGATGGGGGTCGTTTTGACGTGCTGTAGCTGAATGTTTTTGAGGTGGAGGAGATTCAATGGAGTTTTCTTGCTGTCTCCATGAAGAAGACGATGGAGAAGCTACGTGAGGGGGGTCTGTTCGCGTTACATCAGGGGATTTTCTGTGAAGAAAAAGATGGGGGAATCCGATGAAGGAGAAGACGTTATGGGTAGAGGGTCTCGATAGAAACGGCGCTTTTTTAGTGTCTCCCCCCAGCTCATTTAGGTGTTACCCCTATTATATAGGTCTAGGTCTAAATGTGTATTTTTGTGCTAATTGCTCTTAGGTCCTTAGGGTCTTTTCATTTATTTTTTTGTTCCAAAGAAGAGTCTAGAAGGGTCCATAGGGTTAGCTTAATGGGTATTGGATATTGAACTTAAGGAATGGGCCATAAACTTGGGCCTTTATGACTAGCTATGCTTAAAATTAGCTTAATTAACTAAAAAATTATCCACATAAAAATATTATCAAAAATATTAATTAGCCCTACTTAAGTAAAAATAAATATTAAAATAAGACTGACTGTTAAAACAAAAATATTTTTTGGTATTTTTTCAAGATTAAAAATGACTACAAAATATTAATGAAACTATTTTTTTTTGTAATTTTCGTTTTCTTGTAATAAAATAAAGTAAAAGAGTAAAAATGAGTTGAAACAGCTATATTAAGCCTAAATTAAATATTTACGTGCTAAAATATGAAAAATCTTGGGGAGGGTTAAAAATCACATGTCTACACTGTCTTGTGATGCCAAGCCATTTAAATACTTTGTCCCATAGTTTGTGAGTTTTTGGACAACCAAAGTATAGATGCTCAAAAGCTTCCATGTTGGTTGCACAGAACACACATTCTAATGGAGCTTGAATTCCAAATTTCATGAGTCTATCTACTGTTGCTAGCCTTTGATGAATAGCCAGCCATAGGTGAAATTTGAATCTAGGATGAATATGTGTATGTAAATGAATGCTTTTCCACATAACTTTTGGAAATTGAGGCTGCATTTGAACATAAGCTCTATGGATTTGGAACTTGCCTTGCTTTACCAAGGTCTCCAATGTAGATATAAGGCTATTCTGTCCCGGCCTCATCTGCTTCACATCCTCTCTTGCCTCAATGATCTTCCTGATCACCCATGCTGCTGCTTTGGGTGTGTCCATTTCTGCAATGTCTCTGTTCTTTATATAATAATTGTGAGCCCATTTGATCCACAATGTATCTTTCTTCATAGCCAATGCCCAGAGATGTTTCAGTAGTGCTGCTTTATTCCATATCTTCATGTTTATAACATTCAAACCTCCTGTAGCTTTAGGCTGACATAACTTATCTCATGCAATCAAAGCTTTTCTTGAGCATTCTGTTGAGCTAGTCCACAGAAAGGTCCTACATATGGTTTCTATCATCTTCATGATCTTTTTTGGCAACAAATAAATTTGAGCCCAATATGTTTGTATTCCAAACAACACAGATTTGATGAGTTGAATTCTCCCAGAATATGAAAGCAACCTGGCTGACCAGCATCTTACTCTTTCAGTTATCTTTTCTACTAGTGGTAGACATTGGTGAATATTCAGCTTTTTTGTCGACAATGGAACCCCCAGGTACTTAAATGGTAAAGAGCCCTCTGTATATCCAGTAAGCTCTATCAATTGCTCCTTTATGTGATGTGATATACCAGTAATATATATGGAACTCTTTTCTGCATTTGCTTGCAGCCCTGATGCAGCTGAGAATCTATTAAAAGCTTCATGTAATTTAGTAACTGAATTTATATCACCCCTGCAAAACATTAACAAATCGTCAGCAAAATATATGTGTGTTGCTCCCAACTTCTTGCATTTGGGATGGTATTTGAACTCCTTTTGTATGTCCAGTTGGTTCATCTCCCTTTGTAAATATTCCATAGCAATCACAAAAAGATAAGGAGACATTGGATTTCTCTGCCTTATTCCTCTCTTAGCTGGAAAAGGTTTGGTCAGTCCCCCATTTAGAACCAAAGAGTAGGATACTGTTGTCACACATTCCATTATCCATAGGATGAATTTCTGAGGGAAGCCAAGATCAGTAATCATGTACCTAATAAATTGCCAATCCAGTGAATCATAAGCTTTCCTTAAGTCTACCTTGAGAACACATCTTGGAGACAAGCCTTTCCTATTATAGTCATTGAAGAGTTCATGACTGAATAGGATATTATCAATAATACTCCCCCCTTCTATAAAAGCAGATTGTGTTTTCCCAATTATAAGCTCAATCACCTTTTTGATTCTTTTAGTCAGTATCTTAGCAATAATTTTGTATACAGTGGTGCAGCAAGCAATAGGCCTATAGTCCTTCACTGTTGTAGGAGCTGGAACTTTAGGGATCAAAGTTATGGCTGTACAGTTCCATGCCTACTTCATCTTGCCTGTTTGGAAAAAGAATAGCACAACATCATATATATCTTGTCTCACTTCCTGCCAATGCTTTGTGAAGAATTCTATTGGGAATCCATCCACTCTAGGGGCTTTATCATTTGGCATGTCCTTCACTGCTTCATCTATTTCTGTATATGTGATATCCTGAATTAGGTCTTGTTGTTGTTGCATTGAGAGGCACTCTCCTTCTTTGATGAATTTGGTATTAGGACATGGCTTTAGACTTGTGGATTTTCCCATAAGCTGTTTGAAAAAGCAAGTGAATTCTTTTTCTACAGCTTTAGGGTCAGTGATCTTAACTCCCAATTCATTATATACAGAGGTAATTGTGTTCTTGCTTGCTCTGATCTTCAGTTGTGCATAGAAGTACTTGGAGTAATCCCCATGATCAATTCAATTAACTCTAGCCTTCTGTCTTTGTATTTTCTCCTCTATGATGCTCAATTTCTCTAGATCCTGTAGTGTTTGCTTTTCCTGATCTGTCCATACTTGGTTGAAAGGATAAATTATCAAATTGGCCTGTGTACACTCCAGTTTCTGTCTAATCTGGATCAATCTCTGTTCATAACTTTCCATCTCCTTGTTCAACCCTCTAGTCTCACCTTTCAGCTTTTGTAACTTCAACCAGATACCAAACATAAGATCATTTCCCATCTTCTGCTTCCAAATTCTTTCTACAGTAGGCTTAAACTCCTTGTGCTCCATTGTTACTATGTACAACTTGAATGTCTTGGGATATATAGTATTTCTTATCCATATTTGGACCAAGATTGGTGAGTGATCTGACACTCCAGGTTCTAAGCAATCAGCTTCCACATGCCCATAATCTTTAGTTCATTTAAAATTGCCAAAAGCCCAATCAATCTTACTGTATACTCTATCATTTGCACTTTGCTTATCACACCAAGTAAAGAAACATCCATTAGTCCTCAATTGGGGTCAGTTGCATATTATCTATACAATCCTTGAACTCCTGAACCTCATTCATAGTAACTGGTTGTCCTAATCTATCATCTGTGGTTAGGAAATTGTTGAAATCACCGCTTATGAGCCAGGAGATTTGAGTCTACCCCCCTAGCTGTTGCAGACCATTCCATAGACTAGCCCTTTCTTGCAATTTGTTTCTAGCATACACTACAGTAAACATAATTTTGTATCCAGTCACTGGTTCCATCACTAGACAATGAATGAATTGCTCATGGACTTGAATTATGTTTACTGTCAAATGTGTTCTCCATAACAGCCATATTCTTCCATTCTCAGCCTTAGTATAGTTATAACAGTAACCCCAATCCTTAGCTACCTTATACAAGATATTTTTTGCCTTTTTTTCTTTTATTCTAGTTTCTAGACATCCTAGGATATCTATCTTATTCTTTTGCAGAAAGATTCTCAGTTCCTTCTGCTTTTGGAGCTTGTTCAGCCCTCTTATGTTCCAAGTGCTGATAATCATGTTGGTTTTTCTATAGGATCAGAGTTATTCACCCCTCCCTGTACACCACATTCTTCCAATATTGAAAATCTATTGGAAGTGCTAGCCTCATCATTTATCACCTGCTGAACACCTGCAGTATTCTGTCTTTCACTATTTTCCTTCCTTTGTATCATCAAGCTCCTTTGGTCTGGTTTATCTACTGAGGTCTGCTTGTCTTTGTCAAGTGGAGATTGTACTTCATTCTCCTCTCCAATCCCCTCCTCTTGTTCCTGTTGTTCTTTTGGATCCCATTCCTGAATAACTTTTCTCCCTCTGCCTCTATTCCTTCTTTTTGGGGGCTTGAATTTAGCATCTTCATTCTGTTCAGTTGAATTCCAGCATTCAAAGCTATCATGACCAAAATGTAAACATTCATTACAGAATTTTGGCCTACATTCATACATTATTTCCTGTTGTCTAGTACCTGTGGGAGTTTCAATCTCCTAGTGGCTTTGTGATGTCAACTTTCACAAGTACTCTGGCATAGGAAATTTTGTTCAAATCTGCTGTAAATTTATCAGTGTACAATGGTAAACCTACAGCAGTAGCCACCTTGCTTAATGCATCAGTAGTCCAATACCCAGCTGATAGGCTAGGTAAGTGAATCCACAAGGGGATAGTAGTGATACACTTAGGATCAAAGTGGAAATCTCTCTTCCAGTTCTGCAAAATAAATGGCTTGTTATGATATGAGTAAGGCCCAGCTTGCATGACTGCGTCTCTTTCCTCCACTGTTGTGAATCGAAACACATAATATCCTTCTTGGTGATATATGATCTGAGGTCTATTGACAAAATCCCAGACTGATTCAACATAGCTCTCCATAGATTTCTCATACGGAGTATCCCCAAGTACATACCCAATTAGAGGAGTAGCCCAGTGTTCCTTTAGCCCGCTTACGTCTTCTTCCTCTATTTGAATGACAATCTTACCGTCTCTATGACTTGGTGGAATATACTCCAACCTCATCCCCATATGTGAGTTCTGTTGTCTTAGCTCATTTGCATGCATGACCTTCCCTATCTCTGCTTTGGCTGTGAGATCTGGATCTGGAGATGGTTTTGAAGAACCAGCTTCAGAAAATTGCAATCGTTTTGGACTGGTTGGTAATTGATCTTTGGATTTCTGAGCTTCCTTCGCAATATTAGCAATTTTACTGTTCCATTGAGTATCGTTCCCCTATTCATCCTCACTTAGCTCATTTTCCTCTTGAATTGGTTGGAAACTAGGTGGTAGAAAACTTCCAAATGTTAACGGAGTGAAATTCTGCATTGTTAAGGTCACCGGAGTTATAGCAGCAGTCACCGGTGCTACTTGTTTGCGTCTCCTTGCCATCGATGGTGCACGTTAGCCTCCCTTGGCTTATCGTGCGCCGAGAGCATTCCTTGCCTTCTCAACAAATTTTCACTTGTTGTGATTCTTGTCACACCTCCTTTTTCACCTACACCCCGGGGAGGGTATAATAAAGGGAGTTTTTTTCAATTTAAGTGACAATCGAAACGGGATTATTTTAATTAAAATTCAGAGTCGCCACTTGGGATAATTAATGGTGTCTCAAGTCACCGGTTCAAATCCCGAATCGAGGAAAAGATTGACTCTGTATTACAGTTTGCGAACACAGAAATCCGGGTAAGGAATTCTGTTAACCCGGGAGAAGGTGTTAGGCATTCCCGAGTTCCGTGATTCTAGCACGGTCGCTCAACTATTATAATTGGCCTATTATCTGATTTTAGTATATTTTTAAACCTATGTACAAATTTTAACTTAAACCGCTTTTCTTTATTTAATTTTTTAAGAAAAATTCAACGTCATCTAAAACACGTCTTGAACCCCGTCACATAAATGCACCTGCGGTCCGTGACGTATTTTATCCAACATTGTTGAGATTTAGATTTGGGTCACATAAATGCGCACCCGAGTTTAGGAAGATAAATTATTAAAATAACGCGCCTAAAGCAACTACGCACTTTCAAATTTGCGAGAGCCATGGAAATTTTAACTAATGGCACGCCTCGATTTCTAAAGGATTAAAATTAGTTATATGCGGGCTATGGATTATGAACAAAATATATTGTGAAAAACCATATTCAATAGGAGAACTATTGTGGATACATCTGCGGTACATTACTGCTAAAGTAAACATTTGCTCCAATATGTGCAGAAAACAAGCATATCAAAATTGTTTGACATAGGTTCAGGTGAAACCAAAATAGAAGAGATCAAAAGATATTAAATTCTTTATTGACAAAATATCGTGAGAATATTCATAAGATTTAATAATATGAAACATGGTCATTTCATAAGTAGATATACGATACAACACATCATTCATGCATCTTTAAAGTTAACCGCTAATATAATAAATAAAGGCACTAATTTGACAACTACATACAACACATCGTTAAAACACATCTAAAGGACACAATGATATAAATAGCAATACTTTTCAACTTTAGCTAACAATTTCCATAGCTTTTGTTGTTTACTTTCTAAATAATGAGTTTTAAATTCAAAGGGAAATCATGTACTTCTTC